TGGGATCCGAACCCTCGGCGGGAGCGCAGCCACGCTTCCCAAGCGGCGCACTAGTGCAGTGTGCCACCGGGCCAGCCCGTTACCAAATGGTTCTTAACATCCACTGTGGTTGCCATCTCACCGCACCCCATCCCACCCCAGCCCCAGTAGGTTCCAGAGTCTTTGAAAATTTCCTCCAAATTTTGGGGATTAACAAGGTCACCAATTTTTTTTGTTGTTGTTGTTGCTTAGGAGAGAACATGTGAAAATCAACTATAGTTCTATGAAACACAAACAAAAAAGACTAAACAATCAAATAAAAACATGTATGTGAAACTCTTCTGGAAACTGCAAAGTGATCTATAGATAGAACTAAGTTATTCTTACAGTGATCCCTAATAGGTTGCTTAGAGAAAGAAAATAAATAGTCATTAATGAAAAAGAGCATCCTTTCCACAGAAAAAAATTCTAACCTCTTTCTTCATTCATCAGTAGAAAGTACCCCCTGGAAGTCTTTGGACACCCAGCACCAGTGGAGCACTTTCTCTCTGGCCCTTCAACCAGCTGTCTGAGCTCCAGTGGGCACTACCAGTGCAGCAGTTTCCACAGGCTGTGGCACGCTCCCTGCGGGTCCCTCCTCTCCCTCTGAGAAGCCACAGCTTGGCTGGGGGATTTACAGGCAACCATAACTCTTTGGACCCACTGGCTAAATAATTCTGAGCCTCCTTCACACATTACCCAACTACATACTTATGTATCTTAAAGAAAAGCTCTCAGTGTATTTTAAGATATGATTAAGAGGATAAAGTATTGATTTAGCAGCTGTTTTGGTGGATAATTTTTATGTTAAGTATTCGTTTTGCATCTAATAATAATTTTCTTCTTATTTCCAGCTAACTAAGAACCAAGCAAATTTATTCATAAAAAAATCAATGAGCAGTGAGATCACAGTGGAGTCCATGAGTGGAAGGAGGATTACCTGGTGGTTCTGCAAGCATTGGGGAGGCTGAGCAAAGAGCAAGTCACGTTGTTGCAACCACAGAGGCCAAGCTTCACGCACTAC